CTATTGGATTCTTTACCTTTATCTTGTTGTGGTCTGGATGATATTCTTGATATCCTCCCACAGTTCAGCTGGTGTTCAAGCTCATTAGTGTTCAAGGCCTCAAATCTGTTCCTGAGATGGTTTTCAAATTCATGTGTGATAGACTCAAGGTCAAATTTTGGTTCTTGTGGATTTAATTGTCTTTAGCTTCAACATGAACTTACGTATGAGTAGTTGATGGTCTGTTCCTCAGTCAGTACCTCGCCTAGTTTTCAAAGCTGATATTGAGCTTCTCCAGTGATTCTTTCCGTAGATGAAATCAATCTGTTTCCTATGCATACTATCAGGTGAAATCCATGTGTATAGCCTGAGTTTATGTTTCTTATAAGCATTTGTAATGAATATATCATTGATTGTACAAAATTCTATCATTCTATCGCCAGCTTAATTTCTGTCACCAAGTCTAAGTTTTCCAACTACTGATCCCTCTTCCCTGTTCCCAACTTTTGCTTTCCAGTCACCCATTATTATTAATGCATTTTAATTGTATGCTCAACCATTCTCTGACTGCAAAAGTTGGTAGAAATCTTCTATTTCCTCCTCTTTGGCTCTAGTTGTTGGTGTATATATTTGAATGATAGTGATATTCAGTGGACTTCCTTCTATGCGTATGGATATTATCTTGCCACTCACAAAATTGTATTTCATGACAGACCTAGAAATGACTAGATAGGGGCATGTCCTACCTCAATACCTTTTCAATCTATATGTAGAACAGATTATCTAGGAGGCTGGGCTATATAAAGAAAAATGTGGCATCAGGATTAGAGGAAGACCCATTAACAATCTGCATTATTCAGATGACACAACCCTGCTTGCTGAAACTGAGGAGGACCTGAAGTGCTTGCTGCGGAGGGTCAAGGATTGAAGCCTTAAATATGGATTGAAGCTCAGCATCAAGAAAACAAAGATTCCTACCCACTGGGCTGATTGGCAGCATCATGATAGACGATGAAGAGATTGAAATTATTAACGTCTTCAGTTTTATTGGCTCCACAATCAGCACTCTTGATACCAGCAGTCAGGACATTAAAAGACGAATTGCATTGGGGAAGTCTGCTAGCAGAGACCTCTTCAAAGTACTGAAGTGCAAAGATGCCAGTCTGGAGTCTAAGGTGTGCCTGATTCAGGCCATGGTCTTTGCAATTACTTACTATGTGTCAGAAAGCGCAAAATGACTAGGGATGATAGAAGGAGAATTGATGCCTTTGAGCTGCGGTGCTGAAGAAGAGAATATACCATGGATTGATAGGAGAACACACAGGTTCGTCCTAGAAAGGGTGAAAACAGGCTGCTCCTTGGAGGCAAGGATTCTTAAGGTTTGCCTGATCTACTTTAGACATGTTGTAAGGAAGGACTAGTCCTTGGTGAAGGACGTCATGCTTGGGAGATTGGAGAGACAACACAAGAGAGAAAGACCCTAGATAAAATGGATTGATTCATTGACTGGAGTAGTGGCTGTAGGCATGTCAGAAACAGAAAGACTGGCACAGGATAGAGCAGGGTATAGGGCTGTTGTACACAGGGTCGCTATGAGTTGCAGGCGACTCGACGGCACATAACCACCACCACTCCTTCTGCAAACCAAAGTAAGAGAGCTGGCCAGAAACATTAGCACTATCTTCCCGCCTCCTGCAGGACCTGAGATTTTAATAAATCTGGGTGCCGTGGGCGGAGCCACGTGGAGGCGGTAGGTGATTGGCTGCATGAATTAGGGGGCGGGGATTGTTCTGAATTCGAGGAGGGGCCACGAGAAGGAAGCGTAGGATTGGCCAGTCGGGCTCAGGGGCGGGCCTGCGACGGGCTCCCAGTATGAGCGTCCATAAAAGGGATTGGCGGGGGGCTGGGGCCCCGGATTGAACCCTCCCCGCCCGGGGTCCCCGCGCTCTGCGGTCTCGGGGAGGCCTGGACGTTCTTCCCGCAGGTTCGGACCACCGAGCGACCGCGGCGTGGAGGGGGCGGCGCGGGCGGGAGGCGGCAGCGGCGGCGCCGAGGCCTGCGCGATCCCCTGCGGTGTCCGGCCAGCCGCGTTCCCGGCCCCACCATGGCTCTGAAGGCCGAAGGCGCTGCCGCGCTCGACTGCTTCGAGGTGAAGCTCAAGTGTGAGGATGCGGAGGACGAGGACGAGGCCACCGTGGTGGCCGTGATCCCGCGGCCTGAGCCCATGCTCAGAGGTGAGGAGGCGGGAGGGTCGCCCTTCCGCGAGCGGGGCCGCAGCCCCGGCGCCCTGTCGGTCCTTCCGTCCTCTCCTCCAGCGTTTGGAATCTCGGGCCTCCCCGGCTCCTCCCCGCCCCCGCCGGCCGGGTGTGGACCTGGTGTCGGCCGCCCGGCACCCCCTCTCCGAGGCCCAGCTCGGAGGCAGGCTCGCCGGTGGCCCCGGGGGTCCGGCGCCCGGGGAGGCGGCCGCAGGCAGGGGGTCCAGGCTGCGTTTTGGGGCCTGCAGGCCCAGGGGTGCGGCGGCCGGGTCTTCGGAGCAATTCGCCGCATGGAGGCCAGCGCGATGGGCCTCGCAGGGCAGGACGATCCGAGCTCCGCGGGGATCGAGCGCTCCCGGCGCCCAAAGCCTTCCATCCCCGGGCCTTCGCTTCCATAAGCCACAGGTGGCAACCCGGAGCGGGTGAACGGGACCGCGCACGACACCCACTTAGCAAAAGAGGCGCTTGCTTGCTGGGCGAACCTTCTAGGAGCTTGGCCTTGGGAGGGATTTGGAGAACTAGCTGGAACCAGTCGCCCTCCCCTCCCCCTTACCGTTTCCTTTAGCCTCTGAGATCATGAAAACAAAGGGCCACCTTTGGGGAAGACTTGGAATTCATGAAAATGCAGATATCTGTATTGTCTCCAACACCTTCCCTTCCGCGAGGTACCGTTCACAAAGGAGGCCCAGAGGGAGGCCTTCGGGACAATGGGAGAGCAGAGACCACTGGTCCATCGATTCATTCATTTTTACAGCCGGGTGTATTGATGACTAATAGGTGTTGATCGCCTTTCTAGAATTTGGAGATAGGAAATAAGCAAAGAACGTGAAGGCTGCAACCCTCCTCAGCTTCCTGCTTTGCAAAAAGGTTACAGTCCCACTTCTACAGGTGTTTTATCCAGGCTCCCAAGCCAGACATTTAGAGGCTTCCTCAAAGTCATCCTCAGCAATCCAAGAGAGCCTCCAGCCCCACAGATAGAGATGAGTGCCGTTCAACTCATTTTGGGTGATTGCTATGTGACAGAGACAGCTCTGGAGGGTAAGGATTTGGGCTGGCAACCCACAGGCAATCCTCAGAGAGTGGGTTTAAAAAGGACAGTGTAATCTCTTCCTGTGCGATATACGGCTTCTGAAAACCCCCTGGAAGGTCAGCTGTGAGTCATTTCTGACTGACAACACTGAGCGGATGCCTAGAGGAGCCCTGGTGATGCAGAGGTAAAAGTACTTGACTGCTCACCAAAAGTTAGGCGGTTTTATCCTGCTTTCTAGGAGGAGGATGTGGCAGTCTGCTTCCATAAAGCTTCCTGCTAGCCCTGGGGACCACATGGGGCAGCTCTGCGCCCTGCTGAGCCTTTGTGAGTCAGAGTCAGCAGCAGTACCATAGATACTGATGGCAAGCCCTCGGCTAGCTTAGAGGTTGGCAGTTCAAGTCAGCTTGGAGGTGCCTCAGAAGAAAGGGCTGGTGATCTTCGGAAAGGAAACGCCATGGAGTAGGTATACTCTGCATATGTGTGTTGTTAGGGGCTGTCGAGTTGTAGTTGACTCATAGCGACCCGATGAATGACCTGAGCATTGTTCTTAGTTTCAGGAGGCAAGCCATTTCTGGAAGTGGATGCCACTCCTGCTTCCAAGCTTGTTTTACTCAGGGAGCTCCACCAAACACTGTCCACCATGGGTAACCATTATGGCATTTGACACATCAGTGTCACAGTATTTAACATATATAGGTCACTTTAACTTGGGAGCTCTCATGGCCTGGTGGTACAGAAGCTGTGCTCCAAATTCCAAAGGCACACGGTTCAAGCTCACCAGCCACTCCACGGGAGAATGGTGGGCAGTCTCTTCCGGTCTGATCAACTGCCTCTGAAAACCTGCTGGAGGGTCAGCTGTAGGTTGGTTCCCACTTACTGGTACACAACAACAACAAAGTTGGAATCAACTTGATTGCTATGAGTTTGATTCTTTAAAAAGAAAAAATAAAACCAGCACTAGGAGAGTAACCCTCTATTCCAGACTCGTTTAGGGTAGGAATGCTGGTAGCAATATGCACAGCAAACTAAATCCTACCCATGTGGAATATGTGCACTAATGGCCAGAGATAAGCGAGTGAATTTTAGGTAGCTGAGATGATGACAAGTGGTCCTAAGCATGCTAAAACAAGCTAAGGAGGAAAAGAGTTGGGCATGAGTGTTTATCTGGTTTGTTGAGTGGTCAGAGAGAGCTTCTCTCATAATGGAGAACAGGTACTTTCTAGATCACTGGAGGAAGAATAATTTCAAGCAGAGAAGACAACATGTACAGAGATCCTGGAGAAGAAGCTTCTTGAAAGATTCGAGGTGTCAGAGAAAGGCTGAATTTAAGGTTTTTGGTCTGAGCAGCTAGAAGGATGGACTTCTCATTTACTGGGTTGGGGAATGCAGACATGCGTGTCTATTGCACATTCATGTGGTGATGTCTGGTGGGCAGAAGCCTAGATGCCATAGGAGAGTCTGGCTGAAGATACACGAAGGGTAGGTGTCAACAGGCAGGGGATTAGAGCATCCCAGGGAGGAGACAGGAAGTGAACCAAGGACTGGGTCCTGAAGGACTCCTGCAATTGTAGTTGGGAAAAGGGACTCTCTTTTGTTAAATAATTGATGGGTGCCACTGCTCATCAGGCATTGTTAGGTGTTGGAGGTACAAGTGTGAACTATCCAAAATCCGTGGTGTCTTAGAGCCTGTGCTGTAGTGAAGAGACACACCAGAAGTAAAAAAGCACATTCATCCTCATCGAGTGATGAGGCGGGCAGTGCAGGAAGATGAAGCAGGCAGAAGGCAGTGCCAGCTTTCTAAGGGGTGACGGGAGGCCTCAGTGAGAAGTGGGTTCTGCAGCAGTGACCTGGAGAAAGGAAGGGAGCAGCGCAAATATTGGGGAAGGAGGTGAGGGAATCAGGGCACAGGTGGCGAAGCCAGAGCAGCAGGATAGAGAAGACTCAAATTCTTCAAGGATGACGTGTAAGTGCTGATAGTAGGATTAGCACTGGCCACCTTGATGAAAGCCATTTGAGAGGTGTAGTAGGGACAAAAGACTGATTGGAACTAGGAGGTCAAGCTTCTGTCCCCATCACATAGTATACTGTTGAGTTGGAAATGACCCATAGGAACATGTCTGATCCCATCACTACAGGACTCCAGAAGGGACCCGCCCAAAGCTTCTCTGTCTGTGTTCTGCCCTGGCCCCTACTCTGCCCAAGCACACTGCCCTCTCAGATGACTGACCGGGAAGCTCCAGAGGCCGGAGACCCCTGGGTCGGGTCCTTTTCTGGAAGGCTGGGAGGGATGGGTTGTCCTCAGAGTCCAGGAGCATAGGAAATGACCTGATGGGTTTTTAGAGGCAGTTAATTAATCATATGGGAGGAGATTGCCCATCCTTCTCCCATGGAGCAGCTGATGGATTCAAACAGCCTATCTTCGGGATTGCAGTGCAGCTCCTTGTCGCTAGGCCACCAGAGCTCCCTAGTCACAGAGCACATAGGTTGAACTCTGATCTAGGCTTGGATGTTTTGTTACCAAGCTAAAGCCCATATCCATAGCATATCCCACCTCTTCTGGACAGCCTTTCCATTGGGCGAGGAGTAATCTTCCCAGGTGTTAGGGCCTTCTTAATTTGTATTTTGTCTCTTCTTCTTGGCCAGGAGTTTTCTGTTGCAGCCCTAAGGGTTCATGGATACTTTGCAGAAGCACTGAGCAGCCAGGGACCACTCCTGGGGCTACTCTGCCCACTGGACAGGATCCCTGCCCTGTTGGAGCTTATGGTTCGTGTGTACAGAGACCAGACACATTGACCTGTGGTCATCGAAGCACAGCTGTGGAAGAGAAACCAGCTCTGACAAGATCGCTGGCTTTCAGGAGAGTCTGAGAAATGAAAGAACAGACAGAACTGTTCATTGCCTGACCAAAACCTCACTCAATACCTCCCTTTTGATGGGTCAAGTCCTATGGAGATTTTAAAATGATTGTATTTACCTTCTTAAGAAGTCAGCCATGTTGTTGTGTTGTGTACTGCAGAGTCGGAACCAACCCATACCTGACCCCTGAGCAGGTTTTCAAAGGCTGTAAACTGCAGGAAAGGAGATGGGATATGAACTACATGCCTTTGTATTGGCTGGGCACCAAGTGAGCACTAAAGCCACCAAAGCTCCCTGGAGGTCAGCCATGGGTGATCAACCTCCAGGGTGGGAGGTCAGGAGGGCTTCAGAGAGGTGATGACTAGAGGAAGGCTGGGACAGAGAGAAGGGCACGTGCAGAGGCTTCTGGGCAGACGTGTGAAAGGCGTTGACATGCAAGAACATAGCCAAATGGGAAAAATCCTTTGACACCAGTTTATGGGTTGGAGGCCAGATCCAGAGAAGTGTAAGGATGTAGGTAGCAGGATTTTCAGGACCCCCTGGTAATGCAAACTGCAAGTTAGGTGTTTCTAACACATCCAGGAGCTTCGTGGTTCAGAGACCTGGCAATCACATCAAAGGAAACTATTGTAGCTGTTATATTCTGTGACACAGATCATTAAGAGTTGGAGTCAACTCAGAATAAAGACTGAACAGGAGTGTCCCAAGTATTGTTGGCCAAGGATACATTTCCTGATGGCCTCCCTTTCCTCTCTCCGCAGTAGCCCAGCAGGAGAAGACTCCAGTGGCTAGACCCAACCTGCTGGAGCCAGGAAGCGATGGCTGTGAGGAACCCAAGCAGCAGATGTCGTGGGAGCAGGAGTTCCTGGTGGGGAACAGCCCAGGAGGCAGCGGGCGGGCGCTGTGCATGGTGTGTGGTGCGGAGATCCGCCGCCCCTCCGCTGACACGGCCCGCATGCACATCATGGACCAGCATCCTCACACGCTGGACCTGAGCCAGTCTGAGAAGAGCAACATCCTAGAGGCCTGGAGCGAGGGGGTGGCCCTTCTGCAAGATGTCAGAGTGGAGCAGCCATCCCCACCCAGCTCAGGTGGGGGGGGGGGGATAGAACCTGCTGGGCCTGGGGGAGGGAGTAGAGAAGCTCCCTGGTACTCACCAGCACTTCCTTCCTTCAGACATGGGCCAGGGCCTGGATGTGGACCTGGACCCTGATCCAGGCCCTGCCAGGATGCCTGCTGAGATTGTTGTGCTCCTGGACTCTGAGGACAACCCATCCCTCCCAGCCTTCCAGAAAAGGACCCGACCCAGGGGTCTCCGGCCTCTGGAGCTTCCTGGTCAGTCATCTGAGAGGGCAGTGTGCTTGGGCAGAGTAGGGGCCAGGGCAGAACACAGACAGAGAAGCTTTGGGTGGGTCCCTTCTGGAGTCCTGTAGTGATGGGATCAGACACGTTGCCTGTGTAAGGTCTTCTCTTTTTTTGCAGCTGCTCCTGCCCTAGAACCACCAAATAAGAAGCCCCGGAGTCAGAGATGGAAAGAGCCCTCTGGGGACGAGCCTGTCAAAAAGAAAAAAGGCAGGCGTGTGACCAAACCCTTGGACCCTGACCCAGGTGAAGGAGAGAGGTTCAGGGAAATAGGGTCTGGGCTCTGGCTTTCTCAAGAAAGCTGAGCTGGGCAGCAGGGCTGGAGCCCATGTAGAGGGCACTTCATCAGACAGCTCACCTGAGACCTCGGGTTGGGGCCAGACCTTTGTTTTTCACCCAAGTAGGGCTGAGAGGCTGGGGCTCCGGCTCTGACAGCTATTATTCTCCTCTCACAGACCCTCCGTCATCACCTGACTCTCCCATGGAGATGGAGATAGAGACGGAGACGGAGACTTTTGCAGCCCCAGCTGAGGTCAGACACTTCACTGATGGCAGCTTTCCGCCCGGCTTCGTCCTCCAGCTCTTCTCTCACACTCAGCTCAGGACCTCTGAGAACAAGGACTCGCCCAAAGAGGGGAACGCCGCAGGAAACCTCCACCAGCTCAAAAACCCCTCTCCAGGTAAGCTCTCCTGAGAGGGTGGTGGGGCAGGCAGACGGGCTGCGGCTCTGGGCTCTGGCAGCTCAGTAGAGCTCAGGGGAGAAGAGGACGAGTTCAGGTCCTGGAGATCAAGGGCAGGGAACCTTGAATGAGCAAGGAGGCTGACCAGAAGACCAAGTTTTTCTGAGTTTTGCTGTGGGCAGGATGAGCTGGCCCAGTGCTTCCTGAAACCTCCACATGTGAGACTGATTCTAGCCCAAGTCTAAGAAGCTCACTCTGCTCTGAGGAGCATGGTCCTAGAGGGACGGTGAAGTGGACTGGGGGATGGTAAAGGTGGGGGAGGGAAGGAAATGTGCAACGATGGGTGAATAAAAAGAAAACAGAGCCGTGAAGGGTTGCTGGGAACCAACCCTTAGTAATAGTAGTAACTGTTGTACTGATTAGAAGAAGCTTGTATGTTCAGTTCCTTTGGTTCTCCAGCGTCATCTAAAGAAAACAGTTGCCTCAATGTCAACCCCATCTGTGTCAGAGTGGAAATAGAGGTCCGTAGGTGAATGGCACGCACATCCTCACAGATGCCCATGTTGTATTTTAAATCCTATATTAGGAGACTACGAGCATTAGATTAGAACTGTACTATTTAATCCACAATGACACTTTACAAAGGATTGGCACTTCAAAGTTTATTATTTATACAAGTATAAATAGGGAAAAAAAGGAGTAGATTTGAAGTGAATTAGTCTCTAACATGACATTAAACACTCACTTAACTTTGGAGGAGAAGATCCCACTTCATTATAGTCAAAGGAGGCCAGTTAACCCCTGTCCACTTCTGTTTCACTGGTGGGTGCTCTGTGGGTCAGGTGTCAGTTGCTATTTCTGTTTCTAGGTACAGGCTTGGTCAGGTCAGGTAGTGTGCTGTAGCCAATCAACTGCCACTTTGAATGTGTGTTCCCGTCCACATTCCTGGCAATAACACACATCAATCTTCTACAAGAGCTCACTACATCACTCCCCAGACTTATATTCCAGGGCTTCAGCCCATCACCCTTTTCTGACTAATTATTCTGCTTTACCCAGATTTAAACTATTCGAATCTGTTCCAATTTTTTTGCTTCATCTACCATGAAGCAACTTTTTGAATGCTCTCTCTCTAGAGGTTTTTGTGGCTAGGCCTTTTCCCCATCCAGCAGATTTGGGAGACTCTCAGGCCAGTGCCAAGGTTAAAGCCAGCATTACAGTAGCTCTCAAGGCAGAATTTTTATGGGCAATTCCGTATGCTCAAACCTTTGCTGGCTTTTATCTCATTTTCTTCACGACAGGCCTCTTTCCAACCTTAGAGTTGGGTGTCTGCTGTTGCAGAAAGTTTTGCCTTCATATTGCCGTTTGTCTGCCTGAAGGGTCTACCTACACAGGCTGGATTGCAGTTCCTTCCCTTTATGAAGTCCTGGATCCCATTGAAGACCTTTTGTCTGAAAGTGCCCAGTTGTAGTCCTTGGGCAAGCTCACTGTCACTGCTATCTTTGTGTCCCTGCTCGCTCACTGCTTTTCCCCGATAGTCCTGTGGTCACTGCCCCCATTTCTCTGCTGCCTGGCACTGCTCTCCTTGTGCCATTTCTCTTGGTCTTGGTTGTCACCAACTTAAGCAACCCTTAACTTGAACCTATGAAGTTCTCAGCACCAGGACTCTTGGTCCAAAGGATACACTTGTCTTGTTTCCAGGCAATGTTGAATAGGAAGCTCCCAAAAGCATCTGAGATAGGTTGCTTATATAGAAAACCTTCCTAATTTTCCTAGTAAGAAACTTAGTTTCATGTCATGGCTTCTCTTGTAGATTATAAACTGGTCTGTCTACAGATAGAGCAAACAGATAGACCAATCCGTGAAGCCATTTGCCTGGATAACAAACCAACCCATCCTTCAGGAGATTGTAGCTCCACCAGTCATTATGGGAGAATGATGGCAACAGGGAGCTCTGGCAACATGGTGTTACGAAGCTGCACTACAGTCCTAAAGGCGTCCAGTTCAAATCCACCAGCTGTGCCGCAAGAGGATGGTCGTCTCCTCCCATATGATTTACTGCCTCTTAAACACTCACACTACAGGGTCACCTGCTCCGAGGGCACACGTCAACCACACAGGCCCGTAAAGGGCACGCACAGGAAAGCCAATGCACCACATAGTGTTTTCAGTAGTTGTTTTTTCCAGTGGGTCACCAGGCCTTTCTTCCCAAGTTCTCCAGGTGGCCTGAACTCGAGCTTTGATAACAGTCTCCAGAGCGGTAATTTTCATCACTTTTCATCACGCAGTATTTCTCTTAGAAAAATAAAGGAAGAGTTGTTTATCTTCATTTCCAGATAGAAAACAGTATCAGAAAAGAGTCCTCTTCCTGGTAGTAGTTCTGTTTGTTTACTGTCACTGCTCTAATGATTAACCACAAATTCAGTGGCTTCAAACCACAGACATTTAAGTGGTTGTGGGAGAAGTCCCGGTGGTGGTAGGTGGTGGTAGCAGCCAGCGTCTTGGTTAGAACCCCCAGCAGGGGAGAAAGATGAAGCCACCTGCTTCTAGAAGGCTCTGGCCTTGGAAACCTTGAGGCAGAGCAGCTCGGTCCTGTAGGATTGCTACGAGCAGAACCGACTTAATAGCAATGGATTTGGTCTTGGGTTTTATGGTTCTGGAAGCCAGGTGTCTGAAATGGGTCTCAACAGGCTAAACTCAGGACATCAGTGGGTTCCTTTCTGGCAGTTGTAGGCGATTGTCTTGGTCTTTTCCGGAATCTAGATTCCATCTGCACTCTTAGGTCCTGTCTCTGTTTATATTTAAACATCAAGCAGCGGCTGGTGCGGTCTTCCTTAGAATGCTTTATTTGGAATCTCTTTTCTCTTCTTCCCATTTAACAGTCTTTGTGACATTAGGCCAACTTGGTAATAATGTAAGCTACTCTTTAATTCAAAGTCTGCTGATTTGCAACCTTAATTGCATCTGTACCTTCTTTGCTTTCTCATTGTTCATGTAACAGTCACAGATTACAGGAATTAGGACATGCACATCTCTGGGGACCCCTAATTCTGTCAGCCACAATCGTGTAACCTCACTGAGATGGCAGAAAACACCCTGGGTCTTCTGCTGTAAGCACTCCTCATAGCAGTGCAGGGACCCAGGAGGCACTTCTGGAGGGAGTAAATGAGCAGCCCAGAGGGTGTCTGTCTTCTTGTCCCAGCTTGTCTGCAACTTGCCCAGGACACAAAGGAGTTGTGCTCTTTTCATGACGGAAAGAACACATGTGTCCCCTTCCGGCTTCACATCACTCAACATTGGTAACCACAATTCATAGTTTGCTTGTATCCTTCAAGTCTGTTGCGCTGTGTGTGTGTGTGTGTGTGTGTGTGTGTGTGTGTGTGTGTGTGTGTGTGTGTGATTTAGTTACAGTCCTGTTTACTGTGGTAGACTCTTTTCAGGAAGGCAGGCTTTTTTACTTTTTCCAGTTTTGCAGTGAGCTGCATTTCAGCCTTGCTGCCTGAGACTCTGCTCAGCTGAGCGTTAGTGAGTCCTGAGCCTCCTTGATCTCTTGGTGTATCGCTGCTCTAGATGCCTGGTTCCGTCCATGGCATTAGAACTTTATTGTTCTCGGAAGGGAACCTTCATTTCGGGGCTCCCAATATGGAGTTTCTGTGCTCAGACTCCACAGGTATGGGAGGAAGAGTAGGTGAAACGAGTTCCATAGATTGCAGGCCAGTTTGGAGTGAATGGACAAATCTGTGAGGAGAGAAGGACTCGCCAAGCTGAAGATGTGAAGGTGGGGAGGAGACTACAAGATATCCTTAGGAAGGCAGGACTTGGGGTTTGGAGGTCGCCCAAGCTGCAGGCAATAGGAAGCCACGCAGCAACAAGTGTTCCTGGAGCCCAGGCCAGTGGGAAGCGCTCCGGGAAATGTGTGTCTGTCTGGAGGACTTTGCTCCCAGAGGCTCACAGCCTGCTTGAGGGGAGCAGGTCAGAGGCAGTGAGGCAAATCAGAGTTGGGAGGCCCCATTCGTTTCAGAGGCAGAGAAAGCACTACACACCAGTGGGTTCCGCCTTCTGCAAGAACCCAGGGTTTGAACAAGTCTGTGAGAAGTCTGTGAGCCTTCATAATGCCCCTTCTTTGAGTTAGTTGCATAATTTTTTGAGGATTTTACTTGAATAAAAATTCTGCCACATTAACTTAAATATCTTGGATTTAGAAGTTGGAGAAAGTCACACAAGTCAAGTCAAAGGAACTGATGAATGTGAATGTGAGACAGTCAGGGAAGATTTTCTAGAACTTTCTGAGGACCTTGCCAAGTGGAAAGGGTGTCTAGGCCTGAAGAGAGGCATCTTAAGGACTTAGCACAGATGAGAGCAAACAGAATGCTGACTGGGATAAGAGGATGAGGTGCATCACAGATCCCAGTGGGTTTCCAACTGGACAGAGAGAAAGTGGGGAGAACTAGTGGGATTGATGGCTGATGTTGTGGGTGCCCCCACACACTTAATAGGTCCCCAGGTCTTTGTTTGCAGCGAAACAATACCTGGCACAAAGATACCCTCCAAAACCTGATGAAAGTTTCCAGTAAGGAAAGACGAGGGGTGATAATTGCCTTCATCTGTCATTTTGATGGTGAATTCTGGGGTTCCTTCCTTGATGAGGCTCAGGTAAGGGACTCAAATCCTCCCTGTGGAGGTCTGTGAGCTGCAGGACTCTGGACAGAAAGGGCTGGCACAGGAGGGGTGGGGTATGCTCCTCTTGTCCCTACGATGGGGATCCTTCTGGTGCCTTTTCATGGCCCTGGGGCTCTGACCACGTGGTTAAAGAAAAGCAATCGCTACATTAGGCCCCTGCCTCCTGATTCATTCTTATTCCCCACTGTCCCCACGTGCACTCCTTGCTACTGGAAAGAATTTGGCCTTTGAGCGTGAAGTATCATGACTTCGTTTTAGAGAAAGGGAGACCGAGCCTCAGAGCGCTCAAGAACGCACATCAGCTGAGTTTTCATCCTCACCGATCTGCACTGGAGTTGGTTTTGGTGGGATGGACCAGTTGTCAGGCCACAGTAGCCTCTGTTGGCCTAGCTGTGATGTGGGACCATGGTGACCCTTCCTGGAGCGATTCTGCCTTTTCCTTGCTCGCTCATTCTCCGCTGCCCTGGTCGTAAGGATGTCATGTCATTATTTGTCACCCTTTTCTGGAATGTAGGCTCTTTCTGCTAAGGATGGGAGTCTGTTTCCTTTGCTCTGTTATCCTTTGCACCCAACACTGCTTAGCCAAGAGGAGGTACCACCTCCTACCTGCTTGATGGATGAATGACTCAGTTGTCTAGCCCACAGGCCGGGCTGTGCTCTGTGCTCACTCCCTGGTGATGTCATCAGGTTTGAGTCTTTAATGTGTGTTCACAAGTCCTTGCCTGAGTCCTTTCTGTTCCTCACTTGTTGAGCTGAGGTGCACAGGAGATTCCTGATGCATGGAGTCAGGTAAAGGTAAGGAAGTGTCAGTGCGCAGGGTGATGTGCACAGGAGGGCTCTGAAGAGCATCGAGCCCCTGGCTGGTGTGTCCTTGGGCAGCACAGTGGTGCTTCCTCTGTCCTTGGATGCCCTTTGTGCCTGGTACTGGGTGTGGAGATGGGTATGAGTTGGAGAGGCTGCTGGGGACCTTTGTGGGGTCTAAGGTCCCTGACTCTGTTCTCTCTCCCACCCCTGCCTAGCTCCCCCTGCGGGGCTCCGCGGGACACTGGACCTCCAGGTTATCCGAGTGCGGATGGAGGAACCACCGGCCGTCAGCTTCCTGCAGGACTGGTCTAAGCATCCCTCGAGCACCAAGGGTGTGGGAGCAAGTGACACCCGGGATTGGCCTGCAGTCCTGTCTGAATCCAACACTCCTGTTGGGAGCCAGCCTGGGGCGGGCAGTGGTGTGTAGGTACTGGTTTCCCGGGGAGGGAAGGAGAAAGGGAGGAGGCAGCATCCCCCTTGGGACTAAAACTCGGAGCTGCCTCATTTGGCTGCCTGGTGCAGAGTAAAACAGGTGCCAGGGCAGGTGGAAGGGAGGCTAGGGCATCGCTGCTGCTTTGCAGCTCTGAAGAATGTCTGTCCTGGGCAAGGCCTGAGGTAGGGAGGGTGGCTGGTGTGCAGGTGGGGCACTGGGCTTGTGGAGAACACCCACCCAATCCTTCAGCTAACCCAGACCTTGCTCGGTCCCCAACGTGCCCCCTACCCCCAGCCTCCCACCATTCTCCCTTGGCACAGTGCCTTACACAAGAGGTGGTCACGAGGTTTGAACTGAGTCCCACTACCTCCAGGGACGCCTCTCCTCCCCCACCCGTGCAGGCTTCTCCACCTGGAGGCCTCTGTTACCTCTCCCTGCTCCATCCCTGCAGGAGGCGAAGCTGCCTACTGGGGCTTCACTCACTTCTCTCCCACCCACACTTCCCATTGTATATATCTCCTTTGTTGACAATAAATTATTTTTTTTTTATTAAGAGTTTGGTCTGGGCCATCATTTAGGGGATGTTTGCCAGCAGGATATCTGGCTTCCTCAGGGTTTTGGTACCAGCTGTCAGGAAATATGGAGATGCATTGCACTGGGAAAATCTGCAGTTAGGGACCTCTCCAAGTTCTTGAGGAGTAATGATGTCATTTTGAGGACTAAGGTGTATCTGATTCAGGCTATAGTCTTTCTAATCATTTGCTGTGAATCTGAGAGCTGGACAGTGAAGAAAAATGACAGGAAAAGAATTGATGCCTTTGAGCTGTGGTGTTAGAGAAGAGCACGGAACACCCCATGGACGGCCAAGAGAACAAACAGATATGTCTTGGAGAGGGTGCAGCTAGAGAGCTCTTTGGAGGCAAGAATGATGAGGCTTCACCTCACATACTTTGGGCATGTTGCTAGGAGGGGCCGTTTTTTAGAGAAGGACATGATGCTGGGAAGGATGGAGGGTCAGCAAAGGAGAGGAAGACCCTCAATTAAGTAGATTCACACAGTCACTTCCTCAGTGGTCTCTCTTGTGTCAGGAAAGTGTGAGGATGGTGCAAGATAGAATGAGGTTCAGAGCTTTTGTTCATAGGGTCACTCACTGAGTCATACTTGACTTGATGGCACCTAACAACTAACAGAGGGTCACTGAGGAGCAGAAGGGCTGGAGGGTTGTTCTGGGAGGGCAGGCCAGGAAGTGGCCTGCCCAGACTTGGACTGCTGCAATGGGCCTACTCGATGTCAGCCATGTATGAGCACTTACCCCCTCGCTGCTGGCCAGAAAATGCTACCAAGTCCCACCTCTGGCTCACTTGAAGCCACAGTGGACAGTAGCCTGCTCAAACTCAAGGAGCTAAGAAGGAAAGGAAGCTCTCTATTTTTTAATTTTTTTTAATTTTATTATTATTTTGTGAAATCAGGAAATGAATTGCATTGTGAAAGTCGGCTGTGAGGGACCTCTCGAGTACTGAAGTGCAACAATGTCAGGCTGGAGACTAAGGTGTGCCTGATCCAGGCTCTAGTTTTTGCAATTACATGCTATGCATCGGAGAGTTGGGCAGTGAATAGGGATGATAGAGAATTGATGCCTTAGAGTTGTGGTGTTGGAGAAGAGTGTTGAATATACCATGGACTGCTAGGAGAACAAACAAGTTTGTCCTGGAGAGGGTGAAGCTGGGCTACTTCTTGGATTCAAGGATTCTGAAGCTTCATCTGATATGCTTTGGGCATGTTGCAAAGAGGTACTGGTCCTTGGAGAGGGACATCATGTTTGGGAGAGTGGAGGGGCAGCACAGGAGAGGAAGACCTCAATGAGATGGATCGATTCTGTGAGTGGAGTGGTGGGAATGAATGTGTTTCAGACGGTGAGGTTGGCACAGGATAGAAACGCGTTTAGGGCTCTTGTACATAGGGTCTCTATGAGTCGCAAATGACTCAATGGCACATAACAACAACAACAACATTACTTGGTGTGTAGATATGACTGGTACAGGAGGAGAGAATGGAAGCTTTGTAAATGAAGTGTTTTGAGCCAGCCGTTAGATGGGAGGATGTCTTTCCCCAAACACTTACAAGAAAGGAGGTGCCTATAGGGGTCCTAGCCCTGCCCTTTAGCTCTGCCCACTACCTTGCACAGCTTCATTGCTGCCTCAATTTGATTTCTGCTCAGATCGCCCCCTGGTTGTCCCTTTTCCTGGGCCATGAAATGGACCAATTGGGTCTCTTCACTAAATGCCTTACCTCCACACTAACCCTCCCTGTGGGGTCTTAGTCCCTTTGATAATGGACAGCAGCTGTGGTGGTTTGGGGGTCAAGCATGCCACTTTAGTTTTTAGGGCCACTCGCTGAAAGTTCAAATCTACCAGCAGATCTTCCAGGAGAACATGGTCCTGTAAAGATTGCAGCTTTGAAAACTGACAGTTCAACTCTGTCCTTTGAAGTCATGTAGAGTCAGACTCAACTCAATGGCTGTGAGTTTGGTAATAATGGGACTCATCACTCCTTGAGTTGAACCTTCCTCAGGCGACCTGCCTGTGGGTTTTCAGTGGCTGTAAATTGTAAGGGAAGAGACTTGACCATGTATCTCCCTTGGAGCTGCTGGTGCGTTTGAAGCCTCGGAGAGACTCAGTGCTTGGTTAGCAGTGCAACTCCCTAAATATAGACTATGTTACCAGAGTAGAAGAGAGTGGTTTTGGGGGTTTTGAGAAGTTTTTATTTTATATTGGTTTGCTTATAAAGTTCATATACAGGTAGAAGAGGGAATACAACCAAGTGAAGTACAACTCAGTGATCCTGTGACCAAAGATCAGAACTCTGCCTGATGCTGTGGCATCCTTGTCATCTCTGAGAAACTCAAGCCCACTGTTAAAGTCACTGTCAGTGCACCTCCCTGAAGGTCTTCCAGTCTTTTGCTGACCCTCCACCATTCCAAGCATGGTTTTTTTTTGTCTTGTTTTGGTGGTGGTGTGGTGTTTGTGTTGGTTTTTGTGGTTGGTTTTTCTTTTTCTAATTTTTATTTTATATTGTTTTGCTTATAAAATTCATATACATTGTGTTTCACGCTACCCTTCATTCACATTGTTTTATGTAATCATTCCCATTCATTATGTTTTATGAAATTAATCACCATTGAACAATGTCCACCATTACCCTGTCTTTCCAGATCCTTGCCAGATCTTTCCCATTGCCTTTACTTCCCTCACTCCACCCACCAAATTGTGCGGCCCCATGATGTCCCCTCATCCATTCTCACCCCTCTGTTCCCACCCCTTCTCTTGAATCCTCATACACTTTTCACTAGTTATCTATGTTTACAATATGCTTTATTTGTTCATGGAAGACTGAGTTAGTTGACTCAGCAGAATGCCCTCCAGTCTCTTCCAAGTTGTATAGTAATTTTCAAAATCATTGCTCCTAAAAAAAAAAAAAAAAATCATTGCTCCTGAGTGCCGTATAGTATTCCATCATGTGAATGTACCACAATTTCTCAATCCATTCGCTTGTGGTTGGACATTTGGGCTGTTTCTTGAGATTGTGAATAACACTATTAACATTAATGTACAGCATCATTTCCCCTTTTTTTGTCTTTGGGTTTTTTGTTGTTGTTGTTGATTTGTTTTTATTTTATATTGGTTTGCTTTCAAACATGATTTCCTTTTGCAAGGATGGGCCTTTCCTAACCATGTATCCAAAGTATGTGAGACAACACTTCGCCATCTTCATCTCTGAGGAGCACCCTGGTTGCACTTTCTTCCAGACATATTTGTTCTTTAGACAGTGTGGATATTCAGCACTCTAATGCCGCAACTCAGAGGCCTCTTCTTCTGTTGTCTTTATTCACTGTGCATCATTTTAATATGTGTGTGTGTGTGTGTGTGAACTATGCATCATTTTAGATGCATAGCAAGTAATTGAAAAGGCCATGACTTGAATCAGGTGCACCTTAATCTAACATTACTCCTTAGCAGTTTGGAGAGATCCATGACAGCAGATTTTCCTAGTGCAACTAACTACCCATCTCCTGATCTGACTGTTGGAAGCAAGAGTGGTGATTGTGGATCCAAGCAAGAGGAAATCATTAGCAAATTCAATCTCTTCTCCATTTACCATGATGTTGCCTATTGCCCTTTTAATGTTGAGATGTAATCCATACCGAAGGCTTCAGACCTCAGTGTTCTGCAGGCATTGTTTCAAGTTGTGTCATCTGCACAGCACAATATCCAGATTCTTGATTGATTTGCTTAACACATAGATTGAACAGGTATGCAAAATGGATATAGCCCTGACACACCTTTCTTGATTTTTAAACCATGCAATGTTCCCCTGATGTACTCGGACAGCAGCCTCTTAGTCTAGGTATAGATTTTACGTGAGCATAATTGAGTGTTCTGGGATTCCCACTTTTCTCAATGTTTGTCATAATTTGTTATGATCTACCCAGTCAAATGCCTTTGCATCATTGATAAAACACAAACAGACATTGTCCTGATACTCTCTGCTTTCAGCTCATGTCTAACATCATTAATGATGCCATGGCCTTTTCAAAATCCAGCTTGAATTTCAGGCAGTTCTCTGTTGATGTACTATTCTAGCCATTTTTGGACAGTTGTCCACAAGATTCTACTTGTATGTAATACTAATGGTATTACTCAATAATTTCCTCATTTTATTGAGATAGTTAACAGTTTTAGTTTGCTTGGCGCCACACTCTTGGTACCAGCAGCCAGGAAATCAAGAGACGAATTGCATTGGGAAAGTCAACTGTCAGGGACCTCTCTCCAGAGTACTGAAGAGCAGTGACATCAGGCTGGAGACTAAGGTACACCTGAACCGGGCTATAGTCTTTGTAATTACGTGCTATGCATCAGAGAGTTGGACACTGACTAGAGATGAGAGAAAGAGAATGGCTGCCTTTGAGCTATGGTGCTGGAGAAAAGTGTTGAATATACCATGGACTGCTAGAACAAACAGGTTTATCCTGGAGAGGGTTAAGCCAGGCTGCTCCTTGGAGTCAAGGATTCTGAATATTTTGGGCAAGTTGCAAGGAGAGACCAGTCCTTAGAGAGGGACATCATGTTTGGGAGAGTGGAGGGGCGGCACAGGAGAGGAAGACCCTCAATGAGATGGATCGATTCTGTGATTGGGGTGGTGGGAGAGAGTGTGTTGGAGACGGTGAGGTTGGCACAGGCTAAAGCAGGGTTTAGGGCTCTTGTGCGTAGGGTCATTATGAGTCGCAAGTGACTCGATGGCACATAACAACAACAACATTGGATCACCTTTCTTTACATGAGAACAGGTAAGGATCTTTCCCAGTCATTTGGCCAGGTAGCTGTCTTCCAAATTCCCTGACCTTCTAATGAACATATCCAGAGCTGAATCTGTCCGTTGAAACATGTCAGTTGGTATCCTTTCAATTCCTTGAGCCTTTTTTCCCCAGCCAAATAGAAGCTTTATTAGTGATGCTGGATTCCTCACATACTTGACAGTGACAGAGGTATCCCCAGGGTCCCATGGAAGGCCCTGGGTGTGGGGACAACACTGTGTAGCGTTTATACTGGAATGATATAAATAAATAAGCTTTGGTGTATACATTTTTAGGACAGAGTGTAGGTTAACACTGCGTTACAAACACTTAACACCAGATCTCAACATAAATTGGGTTTTTGGCCGAGGGGACAACTCCTAAGGGATTTGATGCTCTGGGTCCCTTCATTGGCTGCTTGAGGCCCACACGAGGCAGATGTCTAGGGCTGAGGCTCTGCCTGGCCCTGCTGCTTGGCCTTCATCTTCAGGTACCTCCCTTTGCCTTCCTCAAAGCGTTTCTTCTCATCCTCTGTCTCAGGTACCAGCTGGGGCACAGGCAGCGACTTGCCCTCCTGGCTCAGGGACACGTAGGTGAAGAAGGCACTGGCAGCCCGGTACCGCTGCTGTGAGCTGTCCACCACGGGCTCAGCGTCCACCAGGACCTCAGTCTCCATGGACTTGTTGCTCGTGAAGGTCTTGCTAGCGCCTTCTGTGCAGCTTGAACCTCTTGCTTCATTACCATTGGTTCTTGTTCGTATACTACTTCCTGGAGGTTCCATCAGCCAATTCTTTTGTATTCCCTCCATCTTTTTTTATTTTTTTTTTCTTCTTTTTCTTTCTTGTTGTGTACGTCAAATCAGATCCAACTGGCACAGGATGATACTGTCCCTCCTTCAGCGGAGCATTTGGTGGATTCTAACCACGCACCTTCGTGATTGCAGTACAGCTTCTTGCCACTAGGTCACCAGAGCTCCCTTCCCTCTATCCTCTTTTTTTTCCTCCATCCTCTTTTAATACTTCCTAGATCATTCAAGTTTTTGTCCTTAGCATCCTTTGCTACTCACATGCCCAAAGTATGTGAGATGTAGCTTCAAAATCCTTGTCTTGAGAGCAACTTAGTTTCACCCTCTCCAGGATGCATAGAGACTAAGATGCTCCTGATCCAGGCCATGGTTTTAACAACTACTTGCTATGCGTCAGAGAGCTTGACAGTGAATAAGGATGACAGATGAAGAATTGATGCCTTTGCGATGTAGTGCTGGAGAAGAATATTGAATATACCATGAACTGCCAAGAGTACAAACAGGTCTGTCCTGGAGAGGGTGAAACCGAGCTGCTCCTTTGATTCAAGGATTCTGAAGCTCCATCTCATATACTTTGGGTATGTAGCCAGGAGAGACCAGTCTTTGGGAAAGGATTATCATGCTTGTTAGGGTGTAGGGACAGCGCAGAAGAGGAAGACCCCAGATGAGATGGATTGACACAGTAACTGTGGTAATGAGGGTCAGAAACAGTGAGATTGGCTCAGGATAGAGCAGGGTTCAGATCCATTGTGCATAGGGTCGTGGTGAGTCTGAGTTGACAGCACATAATAACAACAAAATCCTTCAGTACTGCAACTCAAGGCTTACATTTGTTTTTTAGATCTTTTAGCTTGCTAAATCTGTAACAAGTTCACTTTTTATTTGCTTACTCCAGCACATTTTGTTAGAATACTTTGTCTTCTTGAGCTGCTCTTTGAAATCTTCTCTTCATTCCTTTACTTTAACATTTCTTCTCCCCAAATTCAATGCCTCCTTCAGAATGTAGGCTTGGGTCCAAGGACAGGGCAGTGTGAGCCCCTCGGCTGCTTCGCTGCACTCAACACTGCAAGAGGGTTGCTGAGCACTTTGTGCAAACATTTTATACCAGAATCCTCATCAAAACGGGAGGTGTAGAAAGTTTAAAATTCTCATGGAATCAAGAATTCCAGGAGCCGGTGAGGCTAAGCGAACTCATGAAACTGTTGCCCTGAGATAATATTTATAAATTAAGCAAATCCCCGGGAGTCTTAAACCAAACAATGTTTGTTGTTGTTGCTGTGTAACATCAAGTCAGAACCAACCCAAACTGACCCACTGGCAAGTTTGTAGAGGCAGTCAATCACACGGGACGAGACTGCCCATCCTTCTCTCATAGAGAAGCTGGTGGACTTGAACTGAATGCCTTTGGGATTGCAGCACAGCTTTTTCCTCTAGGCCACCAGAGCTCCCTAAACTAAATAATGTTATGTGCTATTGAGTTAACTGTGTACAATAGTTCTGAATCCTGTCCTGTCCTGAGCCAATCTCCCTGTCTGTTGACACACCTGTCCCTATTACCCCAGTCACTGTGTCTATCCATCTTATCCAGAGTCTTCCTCTCCTGCGTTGTCCTTCCAAGCATCATGTCCTTCTTCAAGGACCCATCCCTGCTGGCAACATGCCCAAAGTATATGACCCTGAGCTTCAGAATCCTTGTCTCCAGAGAGCAACTTGGTTTCACCCTGTCCAGGACAGACCTGTTTCCTGTCTTGGCAGTCCATGGTATTTTCAGTACTCTTCTCCAGCACCACATCTGATGCATAACAAGTAAATGCAAAGACCATGACCTGGATAAGGTGCACCTTAGTCTCTAGACTGATACCTTTGCACTTCAGTAGTCTGGAGAGATCCCTGACACCAGAACCAGCCCCTAATTGGGTCAGTTCCAATTTATCTTTTGGTTTCTTGGCTGCTGGTTCCAGGAGTGTTGATTGTAGACCCAAACAAGCTGAAATTGTTAACAAGCTCAATCTCTTCATCTATCATGGAGCTGCTAATTGGCCCAGTGGTAAGAATCTTTGTTTTCTTGATGTTGAGCTTCAATCCATATTGAAAACCATAGTCCTTGCTTATCTTAATTTGTAGATGTCTGCCTTGAGCATTGTGCTCTTTGAAGAACTATATGGGTGAAAAGATGTCTGGCATAGTTTAAGCCTTTTGCTGCAAACCAGAAGGTTGGCAGTTCAAGCCCACCAGCTAGTGTTCAAAAGACGAGGGATGAAGCAATCGACTTCTGTAGATCTCTCTAAAGGTGGTGGCTGTAGATGGAGTGATGTCAGCCCCGTATTCTAACAGGGGAGTGTGAAAAGCCTCAAAATCTGGACCCTGGGACGACATGAACTATGTGGTCTGCAGGCTGGTGGTGGGCATCTCCGCCTTTCAGGAGGGAGGTGAAGAGCTCAAGACTGAGAATGGGACTCAGAATCAGTTTCTGAAATCTGCCATATGACTGCTTAGACCCCTGGGGGCAGTGCCAGGCCTTGTCACAAGGGACCCTCCCCACACCAACATGGGGGATCCAGTGGCAGCTTCCTCCAGCTCGGTGCCCTAGCCATACTGGCCTGAGAACCATTGCTTCTATCACTGACATTAATTGCACACCAATCTTCCCCTTAAAAAAAAAAAACAAAACCCAGGCCCACCACTCTCAAGTTGACTTTGATCAGTTGTGACCTGCTGGACAGAGTAGAACGACCTGTCTCTTTCCCAAGTCTGTAAATAAAGAAGCAGACTGCCTCATTGTTCTCCTGGGGTGTGGCTTGTGGTCTTGAACCATCAACCTTTTGGTTAGCAGCCAAGTTCTTTAACTACTGCTCGACCAGGGCTCCTATCCTCCTTCCTTGTATGCTGTTCTTTGGTGCAGCCTGATAATGTGCTCTGTGCTCTCTTCTGTGTACAAAAAGAATGAGATGAGAAGTTGCCCTCCTCTCACTGAAGAGAAATGAGTGTGTAGGATTCCTGAGACGATGGGTGAGGAGGGGGACGCTGACTGGGCCACTTTACAGCACCTGGTTGTCACAATGATCTGCTCCAGGCTCCACGGCTCTGGAACAGAAACTCCTCTGACCGGAGCCTTGCTTTCCTCGGCATAAAATGCTGCGCTCAAACTGGCATCCATCCTGGCTGCTATCCATCAGAAACCCTTTGTAAACTAACCACAGGTGTGAGGGCTGGGAACGGAGGAGGGTTGCTGCTTGGCTTTCCCCCTCTGTATCTGCCGGGTGTCTGGGAAAGGAACAGCTACTGACCTTCATGCAGCAGCATCAGCAGAGAGGAGGCTGCTGCGTGCAGGTGGGGTGGAATTCAAGGTCAAGGAACCTTTACTGCTGTTAGTATGGTACTGCCTTGACCCAGTGGACTTTATACTCTTTCCAGGCCTTAAGACCAGGTTGTCTTCAGTAAGCATTAATTAAGCACCCTCTCCTGTGTATTCTGCCTCTGGGACCTTGTTCTGGAGGAAGTGGCACCATTACAGACACCCCGGGTTCTCTTCTCAGCCTCCCTGGACCTGCACACGCAGCCTTCCCACCACTAAACGCAGCAGTTCCTTTGCAAGTAAATCCCAGGTAGCAGGTCAATCTGTAAATATTTGTTTTTTGTAAAAGATCTGGACTCATTTTAATAGAACCTGTTCTCACACACTAAAAATTAGCAACTCCTTACCTTCACCTGCTATCCGGTCAGTGTTTGTGCTCCCCAGTTGGTTTGGGAGTATCTTTTTTACACCTGGCTTGCTTGGCTTAGGCTTGTTCATTGCATTTGGTTGATGTGTTTCTTCCCATTGGGGGGGGGGGGAAATGGAAATAACAGTTAACAGAAGATCCACCACCTCATTTTTTGCCTGGAGAATTCAGTGACATAGATGACATAGACAAGTCATGCACTCTCTCCTCTCTTTTTTCCCAAATTATTCCACCACCATTAGCCGAACTCCCCTGCGCCCTTTCCTCTCACCCAGTAACCACTCCAATCTTTGGTTTCTGTATGTTTGTTTGTTTAATGTTGTTGTTGTTGTTATGTGCTGCCGAGTCCTCTGTGACTCATAGAGACCTTATGTACAACAACCCTAAACTCTGCTCTATCCCTTGCCAATCCTATTGTCTCCGAAATGCCTGCCCCCATTACCCCAGTGACTGAATCAATCCTTCTCATCGAGGATCTTCCTCTCCTACACTGTCCCTCCACCCTCCCAAGCATGACGGCCCTCTTCAAGGACTGATTCCGCCTTGCAACATGTCCAAAGTATGTCAGACCAAGTTTCAGAATCCTTGCCTCCAAGGAGCAACCTGGCTTCGCCCTCTCCAGGATGAACTTTTTTGTTCTCCTAGCAGTCCGTACAATACTCTTCTCCAGCACCACAGCTCAAAGGCATCAACTCTCGTTCTATCATCCCTAGTCATTGTCCAGCTCTCTGACGTATAGCAAGTAATCACAAAGACCATGACATGTATCAGGCACACCTTAGTCTCCAGACTGACATCATTGCTCTTCAGTACTTTGGAGAGGTCCCTGACATCAGGCTTTCCCCATGTAATTCATCTTAATTTCCTGGCTGATCATACCAAGAGTTATCGGGGACCCAGCCCCGATATGTCGGGAGAATTCCACCAAAAGGAGGCACCAGGTTGAAATGAAGATGCGGGGAGGCTAATTGCTGATGACAAATAGCAAGTTTAGTATTCTTAGGAACATGCCTGCAGGGGTAATCGCATTATCTCCTATTTGTTGACTGGTAGATCAAACATTCCCAGACATTCACACAAAACAAAGACCTCTTCTGGGATATCTTATAATATTAAATTTAAAAGACAAAACGGTATCACATTCCTAGAATTCTGAGGCCTTTGGTCACTCCCTGTTCATTAGCATACTGCTTCCTGGAGTTGTTTTCTGCAGAACGGATGGTCAAGCCAAGATAGGTGGTCCTGCTGTTTTTACAAGGTGTTGCTGCTCCTGCTTTGCAGGTTAGCCAGGCCCTGACAAAGAGGGTTGATGGTGAAGCCAAGCAAACTGAAGCTGTCAACAATCTCAATCTCTTCATCATCTATCATGATGCTGCTAATCAGCCCAGTAGTGAGAATCTTTGTTTCCGTGATGTTGAGCTTCAATCCATATTGAAGGCTACAGTCCTTGACCTTCTGCAGCAAGTACTAAAGGTCCTCCTCAGGGTTGTGGGATCTGCATAATGCAGATTGCTGATGAGTCTATCTCTTCCAGTCAGTTGGCCAAGTGCTTGTTTTCCAGATTTCTTGGCACAACTTGGTGAGCACATCGAGGGTAGCACCTGTGTTGAAATATGTCAATCAGTATGCCATCAATTCCTGGAGCCTTGTTTTTGGCCAGTTCTTTCAGACCAGCTTGAACTTCTTCCTTCATTACCACAGGCTCTTGCTCATACGTTGTTCCACAATTCCTTTTGGCACAATGACTCTGTATAATCTTTCCATCTTCTTTAAATACTTCTTGGATCATTTAATATTCTACATAAAACATCCTTAAGTATTACAATTTGAGGTTTGATTTTGTTCTTCAGTTCCTTAAGCTTAAGAAATGCTGAGTGAGTTTGGCCCTTTTGATTTTCTGATTCCAGCTCCTTGCACATTTCATTGTAATACTTTATCTTCACGCTGCCCTCTGGAATCTTCTGTTCAACTCCTTAATATCTTGATTTCTTCCATATGCTTTGGCTTCTCCACATTCCAGTGCAACATTTAGAGTTTCTTTTGACATCCTCCTGTTTTTTTTCTTCGTCCTCTGTATTTGTAATGACCTTTTGCATTCTTCTCGGATGATATTCTTGATATCCTCCCACCACTCATCTGGTCTTCGCTTATTGGTGTCCAAGACCTCAAGTTCCTCAGATGGTTCTGAAATTTAGGTGAGATAGACTCAAGGTCAAATTTTGGTTCCCGTGGACTTGATTTAATTTTCCTCAGCTTCAGCTTGAACTTGCATATGAGTACTTGGGCTGTTCCACAATCAGCACTTGTCCTAGTTTTCACAACTGATACTAAGATTGAGCTTCTCCAGCGATTCTTTCCACAGATGTAATCAATCTGTTTCCTATGCGTCCCATCAGGTGAAGTCCATGGGTATAGCCTGCTTATTTGTAAATGAATAAATAAGGTATTTGTCCTCTTTCAACTGATTTATTTCACTCAAAAAAACATTTTCAAAGCCTTTCCATTTTCAATGGTATCTCCCTCTTGCTTTATTTTTGTTTAATTTTTGTCTTAAGGTTTGTGGGCTGGTTTTTGGTGTTTTTGGTTTTTTTTTTATACAGTGGTTCTTTTATTTAGTAGTTAGAATCTCTGGCTTTTTTAGTTTTACCAATTGCCTCCCCATTGTGTCATTTAGCATATTCACCTATGAACTAAAAAACTTCAAACTCATTGTCGTCACGTCAAAACCAACTCATAGCTTTTTTTTTCCCCCAATTTATTATGCATAGGAATCAGATTGATTACATCTGCAGAAAGAACCGCTGCAGAAGCTCAATATCAGCTGTGATAACTAGGCCAGGAGCTGATTGTGGAACAGACCACCAACTACTCATATGCAAGTTCAAGCTGAAGCTGAGGAAAATTAAACCAAATCCACGGGAACC